AGTTCCCTCCTTTGTGACATTCAAATGCAAGTCTCAGGTTTTGTAGAAGTTTTAAAACATTCAGATTTAGGAAAGGCAAAAGCTAGCATCAGGTTTCTTTTAGGACAATCAAATACGCATTTAGTATTATCCCAGGATTATACAGGCATGGCACAGACGAGGCTAGAGTATGAAAGTAACAACTGCCACCTTGGAAGTCATGGTTAATGTATTTTTTTCTTGTACAGACTACAAGATTTGTGCTTACCATTTCACGCCAGTTTAAGATCTGACCTGTGCTACAGGGAGACATGCGAGCCCAAACTGACTTTTTTTCTAGACATTAGGAAAAACTTCTTCACCGAAAGGGTTGTCAGGTGCTGGAAGGGGCTGCCCAGGGAGGTGGTAGAGTCCTCATCCCTGGAGGGATTTAAAAGAAGGATAGATGAGGTGCTTAGGGACAGGGTTTAGTGGTGGGATGGCAGGGTTAGGTTAACGGTTGGACTCGATGATCTCAAAGGTCTTTTCCAACCAAAGTGATTCTATGATTCTATGACTTCATGGGCAGAACAAGTTGCCTTAGAATTCAGTCAGTCAGTTAAGTAGTTCAGCACTAAGATTCAAGCCAATAGAAGGCGAAGAGTTATTTTTGGATTGATTTAGGTTCTGAAAGGACCAAATTTAGGTCTAATTTCTGCTGGACGAGGTGGAGTGCCTGTTGCAGCCCTCAGACTACCTAGCGGCTGCAGCAGCTCTGGTGCTGCTGGAGCGGGGCCATAACCTCATAAACCCACCCTGTTCCTTCATTCTGCCCTTAATCTTCCCCAACTCGCCGTCTGTTTTAAGAGAAGCCTTTAAGTGCAAAGCTGCCTAGTATAGCAATGCTTAAAAAAATCTAAATAATTAATCTAAATTCTAAGCCTTTGAGTCTTGATAAAACTAGATTGAACAAAAACTGTGTGAGCGGGGTGAGCTTTGGTCAGTACCCCCTGGTGTTGCTAAGAATGCTACTGATCCTGCTGCACCTCTTTTTAAAATATATTCTGGTTTTGGTTTCTCTTTTAGCGCCAAGCAAAGTACACAGAAAATAGACTGAAGGCTATTAAGGCAAGAAACGAATACCTGCTAGCTCTGGAAGCCACCAATGCATCTGTATTCAAGTATTACATTCATGACCTGTCTGATCTCATTGATGTAAGTGCTGCTGCTTGGGTGCCCGCAATGAATATCATTGCTATTAACCCTCCCGTGTGCCTCTCCTTCTTCAACATCTTACACACCAGCACAACCGGTAACCTCTGTACAGCTGTGAAATGATGGTGGCGGATGGGCAGCTTAGAGGGTAACAACGGGTGAGATAATTGGTCATTAGGCTGTTAAGTGAGCTTTTGCTTTGGTCGCTAACTCGGAGTTTGTTGCGCAGGTAGAAGCTTGCACAAGAAATCTGGCATTGAAACGTGTCGAAGGAGGAGTTGCTTAGTTAAAATGAAACTCAGCTTCAGTATCACACTGTTGCTTGACATTTTCTATTTACTATTTTAAGCAAACCTGCAAGATTATAACTCAGAAGCACATTTTAAAAAAGGTTAACTGTAGAAACAATATGCCAGTTGGTAAAAGAAATTGAAGACAGAAGCATTTTCTAAAGCTGCTTTTAACTTATTTTGAGAAAGTCCCTATATTTCAAGGCTAGTGCTTTCTCTAGCGTATTTCACAAGAGGGATGAACCTCCCTTTAGACTTTCCGTTCTCTGATACCCCGACCCACCAGCCCTACAGTAGCTTCATGCGTTTCTTCTGTCATTGGGACTGCAGAGCACTTCCAGTCCAGTTCTGAAAGGTGTCAGAGGAATGTCAGTAACGATGGAGGCTCCATTGCTTGCCACTCAGCAGTCTCTCTGCACAAAGAAACGAAGAAATAACCTGGCTATAGAAACCAGTCCCACCTTTCCTTAGAATGCTGTCTGCAGAAACCGGGGCGTGGAGCAGAAGGTGGAGGGAGCTTGTCCCCCAGCTGCCTGCGAGCCCTCTGTTCCGCAGCTGAGTGATGCCCCCAGCATTCAGGCAGCATCAGTTCTGCTTTTGGTAAAATGCACAGCAAACCCCACCCAATTTCTCCTCTTTGAAAACCGGTTGGGAATCCTGAGATTTTTCACAAATGCATCACTACCCACTTCAGCCTGCAGAACTAGAGTACCAGATGCGCTGGACGCATCGTGTCTGGGTCGTTGACTGTTGCTTGATGTTATTCTGCTTGCCAAGGACAGCCCGCTGCCGTCACTATTAGAAGCAATCAACTGCAAAGCCTGAAGGGAACTTTCTTTCTAGGAGGGGGGAGGAATGAACAGAAGTGTCTCTAGACACAGGCAATAAAGAGCACTCGGATCACTATTAATTAGTCAATTATTAACAATACCTAACAGTATCTTTAATACGTTTATTCAGCTGATCGTAAAATCACATGGAGTGCACTTCTGCTAGGTATTTATTTAAACTTGTCCTTTGGAGGTCAGGATTGTCAGCGCTAGATGGTTTTGAAAAATACTGCTATTTCGAAATGTCACGTTTTGCAAAATTGCTGTGCTGAAGAGCCATGTTTGGTTTATACCTGCTGCCTCTTTAGGAGACCTTTTTTGGTTAACATTTGCTCTACATGAACCGTGCCATTGTGGTTTTTTAACAAATGATTGCTTTCTGTATATTTTTATATTGAAACGCACAAGAGCGGGATTAATTTCACTGACATCAGCGTAACTCAATTGCCTTAATTTTTTTTTTTGCTTTTAAAATCCTATCTATAAGTACTCCCCCAAATACTGTAAATGTGTTTGGTTCAGTTGTCTGCTAACAGACTGTTCTGAGTACGTTTTCAGGAGTCATACACAGTAAAGAATCCATTTGGATTTCATAAATCCATTACAATTTTTAAGCGCGGGCCTGAGATCTTTTAAATAGCACATTGGCAAATGTAGGTTATCCAGCTTTGAGGGAAGCGCTCCTCTCCCTAGGTAGTCCCGGCCGCCTCTGGGGCATGGTAGGCAGTGGTGCAAGACAAGAAGCCAAGCTTCCGCAGTACGCGGATTTGTCGCTGTTCCTAGAGAGGAGCCATCCTGACCCTGGGAGAGCCCATGCCCATGTTAACCCCCTTGTGTTCCTTGAAGCGTTCGATTTAAAACTACGTTGCAAGTTCTCGTAATCTTTAAAAGAAAAGTGTTATCTGCTGTGTTTTCAGAAGGCATGGAAAGATGTGGGACTTGCCTGGGAGCACAGGAGATGGAATTCAGTTATCTCATCATTAAGACACGGGGAATATAGATTTACTAATGCCTTTGATCCTGAAGGATTTAAAATTAACAATTATAACCAGTGATGGTTATCTGAAGCATCTGACTTAAATAAAACCATGAATTTTAAGCCAGGTCTTGATTCTTTTCCTTGATCTAATCATTTGATGATACTGAATTTTGAAATATAATATAAAAACAGTCTTCAAAGTTACTTACAAGTAGATTGCGTTAGGCCAAATAGCATTAAATTTGTCATGTTTATGCAATACATTGTGTTCCCCCTCCAGCGTGCATGGAAGGAGAACAATGAGTTAATTCTGCATCGTGACTTAAGAGCGATAAATTGTTCCTGGCGTAGCCCAGTAGTTTTGAATTTTCTGACTTTGGGGACTGAGGCAGCTCTTTGATGGTAATGAAACATTACAGTAATGGGGAAGTTTGTATTAACTCGTATTTATGCAAGGGTCACTAGGACAGAATTTTAAAAAAAGATAAAAACGCGTGTGTGTGTGTGTGAACCCTAAAGCTTACTTCTCTCTTCTGGGAACAGATATACTATTGCTGTTTAGTCCAGGGTCTGATGCTTTCCCTTCCAAATGTAAACTGCATTTTAAAACAGAGACTCTTTCTCCTTAAATCTCCTGTTGTGGGGCTGTTTGAAAACTGCTGACTGGCAAAGGGTTAATCAGCTGTCATGTCGGGAAGTGAATTTGAATGCGTTATCATTAAATTCTTATAAAAAATTGATTTCCTTGGAGAACGATTCCATCAAACATTTATATAACCCAGAAAAGGGACGGCAAGACTGATACATTTATAAATACGGTACGCTGGACTTCTAAAAACGTTAAAGTGGGGGAGTGGGCTGAAAAATGTTTTCTGTCACTGGCTTCAATAACAGAAAGCTAATAAACTTCCCTGTCTTAATGTAGTCCTGCTGCTCAGCAAGGTGTAAAATGTGAAGTCCCATTTGGCTTTCCAGTCCCACCAGTGAACTCCCCCCGTGCAGCAGATCGGCTTTCCTCCCGGACGGACGTGTGCTGGCGGGGGCGAGCCCGGGGAGGACACGCTGGTCACCCTGGGTGGGCCTGCCCACAGCAGGAGGAGAAAAGGAGCGACTGCTCCTGTTAAAGCTGAGCTGATCCTACTCCTGGCTGGACTGTTGGCCCAACTTGGATTAGCCTTCCCCAAATTACTGCAGAGGATGGCACTGTAATGCGCATGCATGAGAGCGGTAGCTTTGGGTGGCTGTTGAGCCACGGCTGCCTCCACACGTGCAAATTCTCAATCAAGTGTCTTTTGTTTGGTTTTTTTTTTTTTGGTTT